GATTCTGTTAAATTTTTGTCTTGTTTTGAGTGTACTTTACCTTTACTTGGATTTTGAGCCTCATTAATATTTAGGTTATTTGGTTTGGCTCCAGATATTCCTAAAGTCTTCGCAGAGCAAGACATGGGCAATAGGGTGAGCATTTGTAATTGTCTTTTTCCTCTGGAGCCTTATATCTCCATGTATTTTCTGCTCATTTCTGCTCATTTAACACACCCCATGAAATGGTAAGTGTGAGTTGTGTTTGGCTGAACCTCTGGACTAGTGTTTGGAGTTTCTGGAAACACTAGAAGATCAGAAAAGAGAAATGACCACCGTGAAGTACAGGATTCTCTTGCTGTGACATGTTCATTGCAAAGCCCTCTCCAGTGGCTGGGAGGTGTAGTTATCAAGGTTGATCTGTAGAAATCTTTAGAAATCACCATTATAACATATTAGTGGTAAATGTTGCTGATATTTTTATTGGTCATGACTACATCTCAGTTTTACTTTAATATTGATCTATATAGTTTGATCAGTTCCTTGAATTCTAACATGTTGATTTCTCAGTGTTTCGCTAACCAAGAATATTTCTAGGCAATTGGTTGCTTCACAGTCTTTTCAAAAATTAAATGGTAAACTATGAAGACATTCCCAATTTTGCTGTGATAAATATTGAAATGTTAAAATTAATGAACAGAAGAATTTATTCTTACCCATCTATGCTTGCTCTCCTAGCTCATTAAACTTTTTCAGTTACTGGAAAGGCGCATTCTCAAAGTATTTTGTGAGCAAAATATTCTACAGATGCCTCTAACAAATCTAATTGAATATAAAAGTTATATTTAGTAGTTACTGTTGATAGTAGTTTTTATCAGGGTCATAGTTGATCTAGTAAAATATTTAGAGAATGCTGTTAACGTTCCAGCATTAAAGTGGGAACAAAGATTTGATATGAAATTCCTTGAAAGAGCTCTCTATTCTCTCTTGCCTTGGCCTCTGACCCTCAAGACTGTAGCTACTCGCCATCTTGTCAAAACATTTGTGGGTGGAATAAAGGTTAACGAACAAATTTTAATATGCTCCTTGATATTTAACATAGCTAAGAAGCCAGATTTTATTGTGGAAGTTATTTACATGATTTGAAAATTTGACCTAATTAGGAACTTTTTTCTCAGTCATCTTGTTCTGAGCTGTCTTGACTTCACACTGGTAGTTAGCAACTTTTTTTTTTTGGTCAAAGATAATGAGCTAAATATATATAGACACTGAATATTGGCGAAATTGTTAACCAGAAAAGTTGCTTATAAAGTCTGCTGATCTATTTGATATCTAGAATTGAATATTTGAGGACAGTTTTTAGTTAACAAGCTGCTAATGTTTATTATACTCTCGCAGGTTTTTTTTTTTTTTTTTTTGAAAAAATGTTGGCCTTCCACATTTTCTACTTAAGTGTGTACTTTATTGAGTTTAACCTTGTCCGTAGCCTAGTAGCCTGAAAGAGAAGGAGGTGGAACCAGAGCTGGATGTAGTGCATGCCCTTGGGTTATTATAAACTTGTAGTATTTCCTGGATTTACTGAGAGATATTTTAGCTATGTCAATAAGAACAGCTAATAATGTGGAAATCAGGTGTTCGCTTGTGTATTTCAGTGAACATTTTTATTAGTATTTGTATATCATCTCTAGTTTCACATTTTAACTTATTTCGTTGTGGTTTCACCACTGAGCTACCTTTCACTACACCAGCTACTATGTGGCCTGGTAACAGGGAAGGTCTCTCCTAAGGACAGTCTGGACGTATTTTGAGGGAATGTTATTTATCTTAAAGATGCCTAGAAACAAACGCATATAGTACCAGTGAGAAAATATGAAGTAAACAAGTTGCTCACTCTGGGCATGTTGGCTCCCGCCTGTAATACCAGCACTTTGAGAGGCTGAGGTTGGACGATTGCTTGAGGCGAGGAGTTTGAGACCTCCTCGTCTTTAACAAACAAAAACCTGAATGGTGAGGTGTGGTGGAATTGGTAGGGGTGGGAAAGGAGGACTTGGAGAAGCATTCCCCAAAGCCACTGACTTGGTGATGCTCAGTACTTGCCTCTTAGAGGTTACTCAGCTCAGCCCATGCCTTTCAAGGACAGTGAAAAATGGGTTATCAGCCGCATACTTGGAGTTAATATTTTTCTTCACCTTTCAATTTGGGTTCTGTGCTATTCATAGCTGTTCCCTGAGACCATTTCATTATTACCTTTTATGTTTAGTTGCAATGTATCATGTCATTTTGTCCCTAAACTTAATCTCTTAATTTTAAGATCATTGTGATTTTTGCATATTGAAACTTGCAGAAGTCACTTTAAAAAAGTCTTCTGTAAATCCTATAATTCTAAAATAAGTCACAAGCTTGCTTGTTACAAGTGTCAAGAGTCTCTACTACTAAAAAGCAGCACTGCCTTAGTGCACATTGTTACCGGTGAAAAGTGAGGGCAGCTAGTGTAGTTTCTGGATATAAAGTGTGAAGACTATTGGGTTAAACGTTTTTAGTGGAATATACATAGATACGTGTATTTAGAAACTTTGGTGAAGCCAGTATCTGTTTTTAATAACCTTTTTATTTCCTTCTTTGATTAGCATTGTCTTCTGTGTTAAGAAATGTGGATTCCTGTGAGGTGCTGGAGGTTTGAATCATCTTGAAACTTCCCAATCTTGTCTAGTTACCACGGCAGAGGCACTAAGGAATTTACCAGAAAAAGATATTTGATACAAATGATTTATGAAATCTCATCATTTCCTGAGGCCATATCACTGGCCAGTTATGAAAACCATGAATGAATTGCACACCCGGAAGATTTTTTAAGCTAATGACAGTTTCTTCAAAGATGTCAATTGTTTGCCTTGGAAATTTTATAAATTGCATTTCTATGCACATCTGCCCCTAGTGCTTACCACTAGGTTTATTATTCATAATCTGCAATTCAATAAAGGCTTTGTGCTTTCATTTATCTTCAGAACCTCTGGTATGAGCCTTTATATAAAACCTGAATGACTACTTTTTCGAAAAAAAACTTACAGACTGCTCTGTTTAGGCAGGTTTTCTTGTGCACATAGGGCATTTCTGTGGCTGGTTCTCAATCTCTAAGCTGGTTCTCATCCTTTTTAACGCCAGTAGTGGTAGATGCTTGGGGAGGCTGTTTTCATCCTGCTCTGTCCTAGACAATGATACTTGTTTGGCTCCCCAACAGTCAAGGAAGATCATGGAAACTGACATAGAATTTGGTTATTCACAAATACCAGCCCAGTTTCACCCTCCACTTTAATGCAGGAGGTTATGCTTACTATACTAAGAAAATGAAATACATATCCATAGAGTGAGCAGAGCAACAAGTAACAGATCATTACAACAGAATAATGAAACTGGTTCTCAAGCAGGGTTAGTAACCAAAGTGCAGCCTAAGGCATGTCTCAGAATTCTCCCTCAGGAGAATTTGGTTGGACTGGTCTGTCTGCCTGGGTCCCAGCTGAGTGGTGGCCCCCCCAAAAAAAAATCCTGGATAGTTTCCTGTTTGATAATCACAAACTGGCTGAGAGTGAAGGTGCTCAGCAGCATGTAGACAACTGGCAGGTGAAAGCAGACTGCCCACTCCAGCCTGATGTCTTCCCCACCCCCTCAGCTTCTTTTCTCGAGACTCTGTCACTTGGACTGGAGTGCAATGATGCCATTCCAGCTTACTAGCCTTGACCCCCTGGGCTTAAGTGATCCACCCACCTTGGCCTCCCAAAGTGCTGGGACTAAAGGTCAGATCCACCAAACCCGGCTGATTTCTGCTTCTTAAACTTCTGCTGGAAGTGTTCTCTTAAAAAAGCAAAATCCATCTAAATGTTATCCCAAAAGTTTCTCAAATATGATAGTAGAGAATGAACTGAATATCCATGATAATTTTGTTCATCTACCTAGACACAGTGAATTATTTCACAAGTAACGTGAATGTATGTTCTATTGTGAAGAAATGTAAACACTTAAAGGATCTAGCTGCACTCCAGTCCCTAATCCCACTCATCTCCCCAAACCCCATCCATCTTAGTATTACGGGACATATTCTAGAGTTTTTTCTGTGCACTTGTACACATGAACAAGTATAATTTCAGGGGGTCTTTTATTCTTTAACACAAATGGGATTGTATTGTAGTTTTCTGCAATTCCCCTACCACAGAAAGGTGTTTCCAGGTCAGTACATACAGAGATTTGTTTCATTCATTTTTATTATGCTGACTTTTGCCTGCAAGTTACTTTTGGTATGTTAATGCATCACACATATCAAGGCTAACAAACTAATAGAAATGTCCAGTATTTTTCAGCCTCCGTTTTGTTTTCAGAGAGAGGGTCTTGCTCTGTTGCTCAGGCTTACTGCATCAGCTCACCTTCAATAGGGATTTTACAAAGTGCTGCTATTTGATGACACTTTTCTTCTGAACCCATTTTACTAAGGAAAAAAGATTTCCCACAGTTTTACATTAAAATAATTTTTGGGGGGCCAGGCATGGTGGCTCACCCCTGTAATCCCAGCACTTTGGGAGGCTGAGGTGGGATGATCACTTGAGGCCATGAGTTCGAGACCAGCCTAGGCAACATGGTGAAACCCCAACTCTACTAAAAAATACAAAAATAAGCCAGATGTGGTGGCATGCCCTTGTAGTTCCAGCTAGGCTGAGGCAGGAAAATCGCTTAAACCCAGGAGTCAGAGGTTGCAATGAGCTGAGATTGTGCCACTGCACTCCAGCCTGGGCAACAGTGACTCTGAGATGGATATTCTGTCTCAAGAAAAAAATTAAGAGATGGGGAACGTGGTCTCACTATGTTGCTAAGGCTGATCTCGAACTTTAGGCCTCAAGTGATCTGCTCATCTTAGCCTCCCAAATTGCTGGGATTACGGGCATGAGTCACCACACCTGGTAGGTTTTACATTCTTTTAAGTTGAATTTTCATTACTTCCTTTGAAAAGTGTTTCATCTGATATTTTTGCTAGGTTTAAATGTTTTTTTTTTTTTGTTTTAAGACGGGGTTTCACCGTATTGTTCAGGCTGGTCTCGAACTCCTGACCTCAGGTGATCCGCCCGCCTCATCCTCCCAAAGTTCTGGGATTACAGGCGTGAGCCACCGCTCCCGGTTTAAATGTTATAAATATAACGTGGTCATCTGAAACAGTGCTTTGCTATTTTTTCCTATATTGTATTTCCACTTTTTAAAAATATGTCACCCTTGGCAAACTGATGAAACAGTTACACTGGTCATTCTCCACCACCTACCCCTTAAAAATATTTTAATTTTAAGACCCTCCAATAATTGCAGCAGCAGCAATTAAAACTCCCACTGAAAATAAGTTATCTGTCTTAGGTGTGGTGGCATATGCATGTACTCAGAAGACAGGCTGGAGGATGCTTAAGCTCGGAAGTTTGAGGCTGCAGTGAGATGATGGTGCCACTGCACTGTAGCCTGGGTGACAGAGTGAGACCCTGTTTCTAAAATATAAGTTAGTCTTAGGGTAGAATTAATTTTACGATGAGTAGAGGGAGGAAACTAAGGTGAGAAGAAGAATCCAGTTTTGGGGGACAGAGAAGGCAGAGTACTGCCTCAGATTTTGTTGGGAAAATCTGCTGGAAAATACATTGGAAAAGAGAGGATATGTAGCTGTGGGACTGAGCTCCCTAAGCCAGAAAGGGGCAATGATTTTTTTTTTTAAGGAGGTGTTTTCCTTGAAATCACTTTCTTAGGCTTCTCATTATGTGGCGGTAGAATTTATGCCTTAATGTTTAACACCAACATTAAAATGAAAGGAAAGGAGAGAGTTATTAAAAGCATCAAGTGGCTTATTTAAATGGTGTGTCCATTTTCAAAAGAGTTATCGCTCAATTTAGACTGTAAACCACTTTGGTACTTAAATCACTCAGCAAGTGGCTTCGGGAATGTGGCTTTACACAGCACCCTTCAAAATAGTCACAAGGTGGGAAAATCGTGGCCAGGCGCGGTGGCTCACGCCTATAATCCCAGCACTTTGGGAGGCCGAGGCGGGTGGATCATGAGGTCAAGAGATCAAGACCATCCTGGTCAACAAGATGAAACCCTGTCTCTACTAAAAATACAAAAATTAGCTGGGCATGGTGGTGCACGCCTGTAGTCCCAGCTACTCGGGAGGCTGAGGCAGGACAATTGCTTGAACCCAAAAGGCAGAGGTTGCAGTGAGCCAAGATTGTGCCATTGCACTCCAGTCTGGGTAACAACAGCGAAACTCCGTCTAAAAAAAAAGAAAGAAAATCGTGCTTTCACGTGTCAGACATCAGTGGCTAAGACGTCTCTGTGGGGAGATGTGAAGTTAGCAGGCGACATAGGGAAACCTGTTGAGACAGGTGTTGAGCAGCCCGGTGCCCACAGGGCTGGGCTGCAGAGGCACTGGGGAGGTGGGCTGGGCCCTGCCAAGACAGGTGAAAGCAGGTGGATAGGAATAGGGCACCGGTTTTGTCATAATTTAAAGCCAAATAGTGTTTTATTTCATTTTTTTTTTTTTAAAGAGTTGAGTCTGGCTGTATGGCCGAGGCTGCAGTGCAGTGGCTATTCACAGGTGCTATGATAGCCCACTACAGTCTGGAACTCCTGGGCCCAAGCCACCCTCCCACCTCAGTCTCCCAAGCAGCTGGGACTACAAGCACTTTGTCCTCCGTCCCTCCCTCTGCTTTTCCCCTCTTCTAAGGCAGCCATTTCCAACTTTTGGTGGTTTTCTGAGGTGCTGTGTTTACTTCCATGTCTCTAAATAATAGACCTCTATTGCCACTTCTTGATTTTTGATTTTTAGTTATTGAAATTGTGTTGACTTCCCACCACCCCTGAACTACTTACTGTGCCCTAGCCTCCCAATAGATTTAAATTAAATTTTGTTTAGCCCAATATTCAGTGTTTACATTATTGGGGCTGTGTAAGGGCTAGTCTTATCAACTAAGCTGTGTTTATTTATTTTTCTTTATCTTTAAAATTTTTTTTTTGAGGCAGGGTCTTGCTCTGTTGCCCAGGCTACAGTGTTGCAGTGGCACAATCACGACTCACTGCAACCTTGACCTCGTGGGCCCAAGCTATCTTGGGTCCTATCTTCCCTGCCTCATTGTCTGATTTCTTTTCTTTTCTTTTTTTTGAGATGGAGTCTTGCTCTGTCACCCTGGCTAGAGTGCTGTGGTGTGATCTCAGCTCGCTGCATCTTCCACCTCCTAGGCTCAAGCAATTCTCCTGCCTCAGCCTTCTGAGTAGCTGAGATGACAGGTAGGTACCACCATGCCCAGCTAATTTTTGTATTTTTAGTAGAGACAGGGTTTCACTATGTTGGCCAGGCTGGTCTCAAACTCCTGGCCTCAAGTGATCCACCTACTTTGGCCTCCCAAAGTGTTGGGATTACAGGTGTGAGCCACAGTGCCTGGCCTGAGCTGTATGATATTTCTTTTTCTGCACAAGTTCTTTTTGTTTTTCCTGGAGTTTTTGTTTTCCATGTTGTTTACTAATTCACTCTAAACTATGCCAATGTTCTAAGTCCCTCTAAATGCGTAGTGCATAAGGTATTTTATCACTGTCATCTTCTCAGAGGCACCTGTCCTGGAGTTTCTGGCCAGCTGTGCCTAGCACACAGACTTCATCCTAAATGACGATTTCCTCCATGCATCTCGTGTGGCCGCTCCTCTCCTGTGTGTCTTTTGTTTCCCTCTTTCTTGATAAATTGTCTCCTTTCATTGGTGCTCATCCCCCAGTAGCTTTCTGGAAAAGTGTGTAGAGGCAGTAGACATCCAAAAATGTTTTTGTTCTTCATTGACACTCAATTGATAGTTTGGCTGGGTATAGAATCCTGGGTTGAAAACAGCTTTCCTCTGGAATTTGAAAACATTGCTTCGTCACTCCCAGGGTTGTTGTGAGAATTGTAACCTTTCTTTCTAGACAGTTTTAGGATTTCCTCTTTGTGTTACAAAAGTTAGGCAAGCCTGTTTTCATCTACTGCACTGGGAACTTGATGTGATGGTGCATCTGATGTGGTACTGCATATCCTTCAGTACTGGGAAAGCTTCCGGAATTATTTTTTCCCCTCCTTTCTGTTTTCTCAGGAACTCTGTAATTATTCAGGTGTTGCATCTCCTGGACTGATTCCTTTCATTTTATCTTTTCTTCTCTATTTTCCATCCCTGACTTTTTGTTCCACTTCGAAACTTTCTGTTGTTTAAATTTCTGTTATTATGTTTTTACTTTACAAGTCCTTTTCTTGTCCCCAGATGTTCTTTGTTAAAAAACAGTATCCGATTTTGTTTCCTAGTTACAATATATGTTTGGAATCTCTGAGGGTATGAGTGGTATCATTTTGTTAGGTTGTCTGCCTGCATAATCTCTGTTAGCTGTTTTCTCTTTTGTTGTTTTGGACTCTGTGGGATTGAGGCTGTCCATGGATTTCTGGTGATTCCTGGTTACTTGCACATATTTAAGAGCTTGGGGAAAGCTCTGTCAATCAATGTGGCTAAGTCAGCGGTGTGCTTCTGTAGGAATTAGCAGGCTGTGGGGTTCCCCAAAGAATTCCTCCAGCCTGGGGGTGAGGTTTTGGGCCACAAACATCCTGGGAGCTGAGTGGGAAAGAGGGCTAGTGTGAGGTTGGGGAAGGCAGTTGTCCCAGCCTTCCATGTGAATTTGCCTTTAAAGTTTTCCTGTTTTCAGTCTGGTAGCCCTGCCCACAGCTGGGCTTGGCGTTCCCCAGCTCAGAGACTGTCTATTTTACCTTTTTCTGGAGAAAAGGCTTACAGATTCCTGCTGGGGTAGGGGAGGGACAGGCACTCTTAGCTGCTTCTTAAATTTTCTCTCTTTTTCTTTCTTTCTCTTTCTCTTCCTTTCCTTTCATTTCCCCCTCCCCAGCCCCTTTCCTCCCCTGCCCCTCTCCTCCCCTGCCCCTCCCCTCCACCTCCATTCCCCCCCATCTCCCCTCCCCTACCCCTCTCCTACCCCTCTCCTCCCCTGCCCCTCCCCCTTTCCTTCCCTTCTTTCCTTCCCTTTCCCTTTCCCTTTCTTTCCTTTCCTTTCTTTTCCCTTTTGACACAGAGTTCACTCTGTCGCCCAGGCTGGAGTTCAGTGACGTGATCTTGGCTCATTGCAACCTCCGCTTCCCAAGTTCAAGTGATTCTCCTGCCTCAGCCTTTTCAGTAGCTAGGATTACAGGCATGTGCCACCACACCCAACAAATTTTTGTAGTTTTTTTAGTAGAGGCAGGGTTTCACCATGTTGGTCAGGCTGGTCTTGAACTCCTGGCCTCAAATGATCTGCTCACTTCAGTCTCACAAAGTATTGGGATTACAGGCTCGAGCCACCATACCTGGCCTTCTCCTTTCTAATTAAAAATTATGACTGGGTGCCATGCCTCACACCTGTAATCCCAGCACTTTGGAAGGCTGAGGTCGGTGAATCACCTGAGGTCAGGAGTTGGAGACCAGCCTGGCCAACATAGTAAAACCCCATTTCTACTAAAACTACAAAAATCAGCCAGGCTTTGTGGCAGGCACCTGTAATCCCAGTTACTCTGGAGGCTTAGGCAGGAGAATTGCTTGAACCCCAGGGGGCAGAGGTTGCAGTAAACTGAGATTGCACCACCACACTCCAGCCTGGGCGACAGACTCTGTCTCAAAAAAAAAAAAAATGTGAGCAGTATTGCCTGTGCACAGGCACTCACTGAGCATCTGTCCCATGGCGAGCCCTGCTTGAGGAAGCATGGGAAAGGAGGAAGCTCCTTTTTCTTCTGGGACAGGCAGCAAGGACCATCTAGCTGAGGAGGCTAACGCCATGTCCTGAGTAGTGATGTATCAAGAAGCTGTAAAAGGACTAAAGGACAGACACCACTCTGGAAACTTATATTCTCCTACTTGCTGTCTTTCTCATTGCCTGTTGAAGGGCAGGATTGAGGTGGCTGAAATACATGATTCTTAGCTTCAGTTGTGTTCCATTTTAAGTTTTTAAGTCTTCTCATTGCACAAGTGAAAGCCCCAAACTGTTTCACACCACACAAACCAACTCAGGCAACATATGCAGAGTGCCCTAGAGCAGTGGGTACTGGGCATTCACAAGTTAAGAGGGACTCCCAGGGCATTCTGGAGCTTATCAACACAGTGGATAATTAAAATCACAAACACAGCCAGGTGTGGTGACTCAAGCCTGTAATCCCAGCACTTTGGGAGGCTGAGGTGGGTGGATCATTTGTCAGGAGTTCGAGATCAGCCTGGCCAATATGGTGAAACCCTGTCTCTACTAAAAATACAAATATTAGCTGGGCATGGTGGTGGGCACCTGTAGTCCCAGCTACTCGGGAGGCTGAGGCAGGAGAATTACTTGAACCCAGGAGGTAGAGGTTGTAGTGAGCCAAGATTGAACCACTGCACTCCACCCTGGGAGACAGAGGAAGACTCTGTCTCAAAAACTAAATAATTAAAATCACAAACACATTAGATGTGGACATCTGGAAACTTCCTTATCTGGACAGAGACATGCAACTTTCTTTTTTTTTTTTTTTCCTTGAGACAGTCTCGCTCTGTTGCCAGGGGCCAGACTGGAGTGCAGTGGCGTGAGCTTGGCTCACTGCAACCTCTGCCTCCCGGGTTCAAGCAATGCTCCTGCCTCAGCCTCCCAAGTAGCTGGGACTACAGGCATGCACCACCACACCCAGCTAATTTTTTTTTTTTAAAGTAGAGACAGGGTTTCACCATGTTGGCCAGGATGGTCTCGATCTCTTGACCTCGTGATCCACCTGCCTCAGCCTCCCAAAGTGCTGGGATTACAGGCGTGAGCCACCGTTTCTGGCAGACATGCAACTTTCAATAATAGCCTTTCCATGTGCATTCAATTTCCCATGCATGCTTCTCCACTCCAAAATTACGAACATGCTTTCTCTTAATGAGTTTTGTTTTCAAACAGAAAGATCTCTCCTCTATCAGTCTTTTTGTTTTTTAAAAAAGAGAGGGTCTTGTTATGTTTCCCAGTCTGGCCTCAAACTCCTGAACTCAAGGGATCCTCCTGCCTTGGCCTCCCAATAGGTAGGACTACAAGCTCATGCCACTGCTGGTTTGAGCTTGGTGCAGTGGCACATGCTCTAATCCCAGCATGAGGCTGAAGCAAGAGGATCACTTGTGCTTGGGAGTTCAAGATCAGCCTGGGTAACATAGACTGAATCCAAAATTAAGCAGAGCCCAGCCACGTGTGCCTCCACCAGACCTCTGGGTGACTCTGTTGCTGGCTACTGTTTGAGAACTCTCTATTGAGGACTGAGTATCGAATGGGATGATCCCACTGACAGGTCCACAGTAGCAATGGGGACGATGGGGATGATGGAGATGGCCCGACGGTCCTCATGGGAGGAGTGATGCAGGCATGGTGTATATTCACCTTCTCCAGCTCTGTTTTCCTGTCTGCTGTCAGGAGACTTGCTCATAGATTTGTGTGAAGAAGACCCACAGATGACGGGCTGGGAAGTCATAGCACTATTCCACACACCAGTCAGATGTGGTTGTGTGTGCCCATGTCTCCCTCTGTTGCCCAGGCTAGAGTGCGGTGGTGCAATCACCACTCACTGCAGCCTCCACCTCCTGGGCTCAAGCAATCCTCCTGCCTCAGCCTCCCGAGTAGCTGGCAACACAGCCACGTGCCACCAGCTTTGTTTTCTTTCTTTCTTTCTTTTTTGAGATGGAGTTTCACTCGGTCACCCAGGCTGAAGTGCAGTGGTGCGATCTCAGCTCACTGCAACATCCACCTCCCAGATTCAAGCACTTATCCTGCCTCAGCCTCCTGAGTAGCTGTGATTCAGGTGCCTGTCACCACACCCAGATAATTTTTATATTTTTGGTAGAGATGGGGTTTCACCATGTTGGCCAGTCTGGTCTCAAACTCCTGACCTCAGGTGATCCACCTGCCTCGGCCTCCCAAAATGCTGGGATTATAAGCCACAATGCCCAGCCCAGCTGTGGTTCTTTTTTTTTTTTTTTTTTTTTTTAAAGGAGCCATTCCTTTTCCTTTCTGATTTGAAGTGCCATCCTTGTCACAAATTAAACTCACCTGGGTTTTAAAAATAATGCATATTCCCAGACCTCACCCAAGGACCAGAATCTCTTGAGAGTGGGACTCCAGCCTCATTTGGACTCCAGTGCCTCAGAGCCTCGCCACCCAGTCTGCCAAGGACCTGCAGCATCAGCGTAACCTGGAATTGAGACAGAAGTTAAAAGTCTCAGAACCCATCCAGGTTGGCTAAATCCATAACCGAGTGGAGCCCAGCCGTGTGTGCCTTCACCAGACCTCTGGGTGACTCTGTTGCTGGCTACCGTTTGAGAGTTGCCTATTGAGGACTGAGTATTGAATGGGGTGATCCCACTGACAGGTCCAGAGTAGTGATGGGGATGATGAAGATGTCCTGATGGTCCTGGTGGGAGGAGTGATGCAGGCATGGTGTATATTCACTTTCTCCAGCTGTTTTCCTGTCTGCTGTCAGGAGATTTGCGTGAAGATGACTCACAGATGACAGGCTGGGAAGTCATAGCACTGTTCTACACACCAGAAAGGGCTGAGGGCTCCCGGCTTGGAGAGCACTGAGGGTGGGTTCCAGCAGGACCTTCCCATAGCGGGCTCCACTCCCCTCTCTCTTTCCAGGGCTGACCTTGGCAGAGGACACCAGATCCCAGGACTGAGTCACTGGCTGTTCTGGAGGCCTTGGGGAAACAGGTGGGTTCCTTCATTTTCAAGGTTCTGCTGAAGGGGTGGGGCTGCCAGGGGTGGGCGGTGCTAGGAAGCTGGCTCTGCTGACAATCCCATTCCCACTCTTCACTGCTGCGGGGATTCCCATTACCTGCCCAGGGAGGCCCCAGCTGCTCCGATCTTCCCTGGTGAGCCCTCGGCATGCTGCAGAGACCCGGCCAGGGCCCTCCACGGGGAGGCTGATGAGTAGTGGAGCAGCACTGGCCCAGAGAGCCAAGTGCCATCATGCTCGACACCCAGGGGCTGCGAGAGCCCGGAGGAGGGGCCTGATTAGCGTGGGAAGCTGCGAGGGCTGCTGCTGGGATGTAAGTCTCAGGTGGGACCTCCCCCCCCTTCGTCATCCGGAGTGGAAATCAGAGGCTCACCTTCGAGCCTTGGCCATCTGATTTCTCAGCATGGCTTCAGCGTGGGTGACTTTGGGCTGTGTTCCAGGCCCACCGAGGGGCGCAACGCCCTGCCACACCAGGATCTCTCCCTTCTAGGGTGAGCAGGGGTACCAGGCTTCCGGATCCCACCATAAGTTCTCAGTAGACCAGCGTTTCTCTGGCCTGCTTGTCATAGAGCTCCTGAGTGTTAAACTACAGACTCTCTGGCCCTTTTTTCTTTCTTTCTCTCTTTCTCTCTCTCTTCCTTTTCTTCTTCTTTTTTTTTGAGAGGGAGTTTCACTCTTGTTGCCCAGGCTAAAGTGCAATAGCGCGATCGCGGCTCATTGCAACCTCCGCCTCCTGGCTTTAAATGATTCTCCTGTCTCCGGCGCTTTCTATGAAGACCTGCGAGGGCCTTGGGGGTCGAATCTGAGAAATGGGCATAGCAGGTGCTTCTGTAACCCCTCTCAGTGAAGTGGGAACCCCCAAGTCCTGGGGACCAGGAAGCTTTGGACAAGGGGAAAGGGCGGGACTCATGGAAGTCTGCCCGTGAGAAATAGCCTCCTGGACTTGATGGCTTCCGCGGACGGTATCCTCTGCTCCTCCCAGGGTGACTCACAGGAGGCTTTCTTGCTCACCCAGCCCGAGTTTCTTGGAAACAGAGCAGACTCTTTTTTTTCCTGCCAACACTGAGGCCCCACCCTGGGTTGCAGGGATCAAGACCAGGTTACAGCATCTACTTTCTAAGGACACCTTCAGGGGTGGTCGCGGCCATCTCCCGCCTCTGAGCCCTGATGTAGAAGGTTAAGGCCTGAGTGAAACGCAAGGCGGACCAAAGCTCTCCCGGCTTGGCAGTAGGGCACTGGCCCGCCAGTCTGTGGATCCTTCCAGAAACACAGGCGATCCTGGAGGGGGAGGGGAGGTCTGGGGCAGAACCGTGGAAGAGTTTGCTAGAAAGTGTTTCCTTCTGGGGGTGGGGCCGGCCTGGGTCTCCCCCGCACGTGCGCGCGGTACCTGGAGAAGGTCCTGCTGGGACTCCTTTCCTTCCTGCCGCGACCCCAGCTCGCCAGCTCCCTCGCGATGGAGGTTTCCCGCGGTTCTGGGGTAGCTGGGGCGGGGGCGGCTGCGCCTGCAGCGGGGACGCGGTCTCCCGGGCGCCCCCCAGTCCTCCGCCCCGGATCCCGCCCCTGCGCCCGGGGCCTGGGACACGCGGCCAGCGGGGGGCGCCTGCGGCCGCTCCTCCTTCCCCGCCCGCGGTGAGAACCGGGCCGGCCCGCGGCCACTGGGGCTGCCACTCTGGCGGCGGCGGAGCGGGAGCGCGCGGCAGGTGAGCGCGGCAGGCTGGAGGGTGGGGGGTGCGTCCGGGGTCGGGGTGCCGGTGGCCGCCGCCCCGCGCCGCGCGGACCGCACCCAGGCGGGCGGGTGACCCCTCTCCTGGCCCGCCCTTCCCCGGCCTCGCGGGCTCCCGGTCCCTCCGCTCCGCGGCGGCAGCGGCAGCTCCTGCCCGGGTGGGTCGGGAATGCTCCGAGACCCCTCCCTCGGGCTGCAACCTCCTCCCTTGGGCATGGCCGGGAGACGCTTAGCAGATGGTACCCCAGCCAGCGGGAGCGGGCTTTCCGATGACAAAACTGAGACCCGATGGAGGTTGCCTGGCTCCAGACCCCTGCAGTGGAGCTTAGGGCGTCAGAGAGGGGCTGGCTCCCGGCGGCGGGGCCTGTTGGAAGCAAACACTGCCAAGGGTAGCAGCCTCTGCGGGCGCAGGACCGGGCTGTGGGTCTGCAGCGCTTCCACCAGAGCCAGCAGCGAGCAGGACTCCTTGGGGGCCAGAGGAGGCCAGGGTCCATGGGAGAGTGAGTCAGGCCCGGCCTCTCCCTCGGATCCCAGCCGGGGAACCCAGACGCCTCGCACACGAGCAAGTGACAATAGGAGCCGACCCGGTTGGGGGAGGGTTGGGGGCGAGACGCTGGAGCCTCTCCGTGGAGTGGAGTTGTTCTCTCTCCTGCTTTATGTCTCAGGTCCCTCCCTCAAAGTCCAGGAACTCCTTTGTGAGTCCCAGAGCTGACGCTGGAAATAATCGCGCGGCCCAGTGTATAGAAGTAGAGCCCTTAAAATGAGGAAAAGGATACCCTGTGTGGTCGGCTGAAGCCTTTTCAGGCTGGTCGGGAGTGATACTCCAGAGATTGAATGAATGAATGAATGAATGCCTGCAAGCATGACCATCAGGACTGTAGTGGACTCCCGGTGAGGCTACGACTGTGGGGACCTAGGCAGGGGCTTTGGTCCCTGAGAGGAGGGAGTTTTAGGGTTCAGTGGATGCCTTCAAAGGTGGGCAGGTGCCCTTGTCGGCTGTGGAGCTGGGGCTAGGCTCTGGGGAGGGGTCAGGCTCCAGGTCTACGGGGGGACCCCACAGGAGTGGCTGACTGGGCCTGGGGAGCAGAGGTGAGAACCCCCTTCCCCACTACATGGTGAATTTAGTTCATATTCGGTGGCAGGATTTTTTTTTTTTCTTGAAACCGGGCCTTGCTCTGTCCTCCAGGCTGGAATGCAATGGCATAATCATGGCTCACTGCAGCCTCCACCTCCCAGGCTCAAGTGATCCTCCCACCTCAGCCTCCCAAGTAGCTGGAATTATAGGTGTGTGCCACCATGCCCGACGGATTTATTGATTTTTTTTTTTTTGTAGGCACATGGTTGCCCAGGCTAGCCTCAAACTCCTGGGTTCAAGCGATCCTCCTGCCTCAGCCTCCCAAAGTGCTGAGATTACAGGTGTGAGCCACCGTGCCTAGCCTTTCTTTCTGTTTTTTTTTTGAGTCCTGATTTTATTACTCTCTTTCTTTTCCATCTGAAGCAGCCTTCTGTTTCTGGGAGCCTGGCCTCGCAGGACCAGGTCTTTCTAAAGCCGCCTCTCCCGCTGCTCAGTGTTTAGGATCCCCAGGCACTGGGTCCTCTTGATTCAGCAGCCACACAGGCCCAAGTGCCCTTGAGTTTATGAGAGTGGGTACTTTTGGGCTTTTTACAGAGGAGGACAGGGAGAGGTGAGGCCTGCTGGGCCCTCCCAGGGAGCCCTCCAATGTCTGAGACCCTCACAAAGCCCCTGTGTGTCCTTTGTATCTTTAATCATAAGTTAGGCAGGACCCAAACGATCAGTCCCATTTGCAGGTGAGAAAGCTGAGGTCCTCACAGGTTGCATAGCAAGGAGCTGGTCTATTCTGACATGGTCTTGGTGGAGCCCGTTGGGGTCCATATCAGTGAGACTGAGCCCCAGCCCCGAATGTGAAGTCAAATGGGCCTGGTGAGTGCCCACCATGGGCAGCACACATTCCCTGCCCATGCCTTGCCCACCTCACCCTGTTCCCATTCCTACCCCGTACCCAGAGGTGCCCTGGGGCTTTGCTCCTGACCCCCACCTCTTGAATCCCCTTTCATGCTGGGCACAAAAGAACATTGCTGGGGGAGAGGGGCTTATGTCCCTTTCTCCCCACCCCCAGGCTGAATCCAGCCAGGATGGCCTGTGTCAGGACAGAAGGCAGAGGGGTGAGTTAGGCGTGGGCCCTGCCATGGCCAGTAGGGGAGGCCGAGTGGTTACACTTTGAACCCAGACACTCCTGCTGCAGGTGGGCCAGCCTGTGCTTTTGTGCGTTGAAGGGCAGGGAGGGGCCATTACTTTGTACAGATATACTGTACAAAAATTCAGGGTATCGGCCGGGTGCAGTGGCTCACGCCTATAATCCCAGCACTTTGGGAGGCCAAAGCAGGTGGATCATGAGGTCAAGAGATCAAGATCATCCTGGTCAACATGGTGAAACCCCGTCTCTATGAAAAATACAAAAATTAGCTGGGCATAGTGGTGCGTGCCTATAGTCCCAGCTAATCGGGAGGCTGAGGCAGGAGAATTGCCTGAACCCAGGAGGCAGAGGTTGTGGTGAGCCGAGATTGCGCCGTTGCACACCAGCCTGGGTAGCAAGAGTGAAACTCTGTCTCAAAAAAAAAAAAAAAAAAAATTTCAGGGTATCTTTGAGGGATTTTGTGGACAGATCATTTTCTTATTTATTCTTGCTTTCTGTGTTTTCAAAATTGTTGGCAATGAGGAAGAAAAGCAAAACTTTATTCCCTGTGTGTTTGCTCTGCTAGATTTTCCTGAGCAGTTCTGTGGCTTCTGAAACTTAGGATTGGGTTTGTAGATGAGGTCTGGAGGCTGATGTGAGTTTCTGAGTTTGACAGAATATCACATGGTGAGGTTCCAGGATTTTGAGATATTTTGGTACACATTGGCCTCACAGCCTAACAGAACGGCCTGAGACTCAGGCGGAAGATGCCGTGTTGGTCGCTGGCATGTTACCTCTTCCTCTGTACGTCTGCTGGGATCTGTGGCTCATGGTGGTCGGAAAGCTCTCTGAGGGGTTCTGCCTCCTCTTCTCAGATACTGCAGACCTGTGTGTGGCCCCTTTGAGTGCTTTCTGCTCTCTACATGAGAGCCTGCACCATTCCCACCTCCCAGGCCCTGCCCTGGCTGAGCCTTCTTCCTGTAACCCTTTTAGCATGGTCCTATCGTGTGTCTTAGCCAGTACTCAGGCTTCAGCCTGGCTCAGCGGCTCACGCTTGTAATCCCAGCTCTTCAGGGATTACATATTGAGGCTGGCATATTGCTTGAAACCAAGAGTTTAAGACCGGCTTGGCCAATGTGGTGAAACTCTGTCTCTACTTTTTAGTATTTTTATACAAAAATTAGCCAGGTGTGGTGGTATGTTCCTGTAGAATTGCTTGAACTGGGGAGGCAGAGGTTGCAGTGAGCCGAGATCGTGCCACTGAACTCCAGCTTGCTCTAGGTGACAGAGCAAGACTCTGTTTCAAAAAAAAAACCCCAAGTACTCAGGCCCCTCTTAGACAGTTGACCTCGAGGGTTCTCCTGAGCCCTGGTCTGTGGGTTAGGGATGTGGCCTACAGCTCTTCTGACTTCAGGCTCTGCCTTTTGGACCTGGGCATTTAGGCCTAGACTGGACTATAAAGGAGAACATGGCAGGCTCTGCTGGCCCCAGCCCTCCAAGGCCCTGGTTATCGTCCAGTTTGCCAGGAGTTGGGGTGGCTCTTCTGCAGGTAAGCACATTCTTACTCTGGAAATGGCTACATGGGGCCCTGCTGGCTGGGGGTAGTGGGCATCCAGCCAGGGCCATTGCCAGGCGTGGGGAGCTGGCAGCCAGAGGCCCAGCCCATGTGTGCGCGGGAGGGTGCTCCTTCATTTAATGATCACCTGCTGAGTGAGGCGCCTTGAGCAGCTGTTTGCAGGGGGAGCCCCTGTTCAGTGAACAACAAAGAGCTTTCTTTGGAAGCTGTTGGGTCTGGAGGAGAAGAGCACAAGCTCTGGAGAGAGTCCACTGGGCTTGAGTTCCAGCTCAAGCTGCAGTGTGGTAGCTGTGTGACTTTGGGCAAGTGCTTCAACCCCTCTGCACCTTCAATTTCTCAGTTATAAAATGGAGACAATCAGAGTGCTTATCTCAAAGGCCAAGGAGTTAACCTCCAGGTTAAAGGCAACTGAAGAGAAGCGATAACAAAACGCCTATAATTTCAGCAGCTGGGGAGCTCGAGGAGGGCAGATCACTTGAGCTCAAGAGTTCATGACCAGCCTGGCCAACATGGTGAAATCCTATCTTTACTAATAATACAAAAAAATTAGCTGGATGTGGTGGCAGGTGCCTATAATCCCAGCTACTTGGGAGGCTGAGACAGGAGAATCGCTTGAACCCGGGAGGTGGAGGTTGCAGTGAGCCGAGATCATGCTGCTACACTCTAGCCTGGGGGGCAAAGTGAGACTCCAGTGCAAAAAAAAGAAAATCAAAAAAACCTAAAATGCAGTATGTGGCTGGGTACAGTGGCTCACACCCTTAATCCTAGCACTTTGGGAGGTGGAGGTAGGTGGATCACTTGAGGTCCTGAGTTAGAGACCAGCCTGGACAATGTGGTGAAACCTTGTCTCTATTTTTAAAAATAAAAAATTTAAAAACAAAATAAAAATTTAAAAAATGCAGTACGTGAGCTGGGCGTGGTGGCTCAAGCCTGTAATCCCAGCACTTTGGGAGGCCGAGGTGGGTGGATCACGAGGTCAAGAGATCGAGACCATCCTGGTCAACATGGTGAAACCCCGTCTCTACTAAAAATACAAAAAATTAGCTGGGCACGGTGGCGCGCGCCTGTAGTCCCAGCTACTCAGGAGGCTGAGGCAGGAGAATTGCCTGAACCCAGGAGGCGGAGGTTGCGGTGAGCCGAGATCGCGCCATTGCACTCCAGCCTGGGTAACAAGAGTGAAACTCCGTCTCAAAAAAAAAATGCAGTGTGTGAGCATAGGATGGGAAAAAAGGTATAAAGCACATGACTGGGATGGTTGATAAAATTGAGTATGGGCTGTAAAGTATTGTATCAACATTAAATGATTTGATAACTCTTTATATGAGCCCTCGTTCTTATGGAATTTGCAAGGCTAAAGGAGCACAGTGTAATTAACCCACTATCAAATATTAAAGAGAAACAAATGTATAGATAGTAGAATGAGGCAAAATGGTAAAAATGGGCAAATCTAGATAAAAAGAATAGAATTATTTGTACTTTTCTTATCACTTTTCTGAAAATTTTTAGAAAGTATTTCAAAATACAGTTTTAAAAAATGCCTACCTTGCCAGGTGAGGTGGCTGACACCTGTAATCCCATCACTTAGGGAGGCTGAAGTGGGAGGA